AGTAGATAGTTGTATGTCATAGCTGCACATCCTTCTAGTTGCTGTATGTGGGACGCGGCCTCAGCATGGCCGGAGAAGCGGTGCGTCGGTGCGTGCCCGGGATCTGAACCCCGGGCCGCCAGCTGTGGAGTGCACGCACTTAACCGCTAAGCCACAGGGCCGGCCCCCATTAAAGTTATTTTAGATGATAGGTGTCCATTGCTTCCCAAATTGGAACTGTATAAAGCAAGTGCTTCAAAAGAAGAGAAAGAAAATATTTAGTTAGAGTTTGCTAAAGATATTTGTATAACTTTTTTTGTTTTTCTTTTAAATAAAAATTTTCAAAAGGATTTATCAATATTATGAAAATTATATATTTATGTAGCCCATTTCAACCAGCAAACTTTAAAACAAAATTTTATTATGATTTATTTGCCTTTTATAGTTTTCCACTACCAGCTATGCCCTGAAATATATGGTATTCTTTAAGTAGTTTTGTATAATTTACCATTCTTAAGAAAACCTCACTTAGGTTTAAAAAACAGATTTTAGTTAATACACATTATTTGTACTTGAAAATATAGAAAGATAAATACATTTTAAAACTCCTTACAGGATTTGGTTCTGTGGGACAAAGTTCAATTTTTAAAGACATTGTGGTGTTTGTTAAATAGTTGTCAGTTTATTTTTTTATGGATCTACTTGCCTCTGAAATTGAATACTTGAAATAAATCTAGTGAAAATGACTTGATTAACCTGAAAGATATAATGGATATAATGTGAGGGCTATTTTCTTTCCCCATAATAAAAATGCAACTAAATCTATTTGTAGTGTTAATATTGTCCAAGAAAAAAATGTTTGGAATCTCATTTATTGTGAGATAATCCAGTTCTACTTTGCCCGATTACATGTTTAACAGTTATATGTCTCTGTACACAATGCTCATTAAAGTGGACGTTAGATGTTTTGCATGTCTCTTAAAACACACACACACACGTACATCCTTCCTCTAAATTACCCAGTTACCTGTCAAACAGAAGGCTGTCTGCCCACATATACCTACCTTTTCTTCAGCCTTGCCTTTTGGGCCTATTCACAACAGCTTTGCAAAAAGCACAGCTTTCTCTTCCTATCTCTAGCACATTTGCCTTCTTACTAAAGTAAACAGGCTCTCAGTGTAGGGATTTAGAGGGCTTCCTGCTAATTGCCAGCTTGTAAACTTAATTGGACTGTCTCCCTGGGCACTGTTCCTAAATCAATTAGGCAATGAGTTGGCTGTCACCTCTTTTTCCCAAGAAGGTCTCTTGGAAGAGAATTATCCAATAGAAGTCAAGCATTCACATGAAAAGGTGATAACTTCTGCAACTGACATTTATCATTTAAATTTTATTTTTAATATGACTCTTAAGTTTTATAGGATAGGGAAACTTTACAATCTTACAGGCTCTTGAAAAGAGCTAAATAGGGAGATTTCCAGAATTTTTAAAAATGTATTATAAGATTAATGTTTATTTTAGATTATTTATTTTTCTTAGGAAGAGTACATTCCTTGAAACAGTAGATTCTAACTAACAGATCTTTTTTTTTTTTTTAAGAAAACCCTGTTTGAAGAACAGATTTTTCTTAGTATCTGCTACTAAATACATCCAAAAATTTTAATATACTTCTTGAATTAACACAGTGCTGATTCTGGGCATCCATGTGGAATTTTCATGTATAATTCAAGTTACTGCATATATAAACAGGTAGTTGCATGTGCAGTTTCCCCACTAGGGAGCATTTATGAGATTTTTTTCATATGCTTGTTATGCAAGCCTTTGGAAAATTTGACATGAAAGGTGTAGCTTACAATTTAAGAAGCTGAGATAGATCATAATTTAAAATAGAATGCTATCATATGTAAATGTGGCAGTGGCTGGTGCCAATATGCTAAGATTTTGGAGTTTGACTCTTAGGACAGTTAGTGTAATGTTGAAGGAAAACTCTTCTCCAAGGCTAGAGCGTCTATTCTAAATCCTTATACTCATTGGACAAATGCACTGGGGATTAAAGGCCATCACTGCTGTTATTAGAAGAATGGGAAGAACATGTCTTCCTCAGGAGGGAGCTAGAATGGTCATCCTCTCACATGGAAGCCAAGAAGTACTGTTTTATATAAAGCAATATGTAATCAGAATTTCTTTTTTTTTTTAAGATTTTATTTATTTATTTTTTCCCCCCAAAGCCCCAGTAGATAGTTGTATGTCATAGCTGCACATCCTTCTAGTTGCTGTATGTGGGACGCGGCCTCAGCATGGCCAGAGATGCGGTGCGTCGGTGTGCGCCCAGGATCCGAACCCCGGGCCGCCAGCAGCGGAGCACGTGCACTTAACCGCTAAGCCACCGGGCCAGCCGTAATCAGAATTTCTTTACCTGACAGTCATAGTCCATATTTCCACATATATGGACTGAGATTAATTTTAAAAAGAGGAGTCCCTAATTATACTACTGAGATATTAAAGCTTTCCCATTCTCATCAGTACCTTTTCCAACCTTCACTGCTCTCTTTAAATTCACATGATCAGCTCCCTGCCCCCTCAACAGAGCATTTCACCTTTAAATTTGCACTTGATTAAGTTTATCTGCTCCTCACCACCCACCTACCCACCCACACACCCACCTACCCAACCAACCAACTGGTTATCCGCATGTACATAAATCTTTCCTTCTCAATTCAATGGAAAAGGAGCCCTTCCTCTTGTCCAAGACTAGTTCCGCCACTAGTTCCACTCTGGGTCCTACGACATTCCCTTTGACACCTTTATTTTGTCACCACTCCCCCCACGAATCTTGCTACATCAGCAGATACAGGCCCAAGCCACACCATAAAACAAACAAACAGCTCTTCCTTAAAATTGTTCCCCCTCTCTAATTTATCAAATATTCACCTTCCTTTCATAGTCAAACTCATTGAAATAATAGTGAACACTGACTTTCTTTGCTTCTTCACTTTCCATTCACTCCTCACAGCACTGTGTTCTGGCTCATGTCTTCAGTGTTCTCCTGGAACTGCTCTTGGAAAGGTCACCAGTGACTTCCTACTTGATGTTACTTGATGACTTTTCAGCATTTGATGGTTGCTGACCACTTCCACCATCATACAACTCTCATCGTACTTGCCTTCCATGACCCCAGATGCAACTTTTCATCAATTTTTTTATGCTCTTCTTCTGCCTACTCATGAAAATGTTGAGGCTCTCTAAGGTTCCATTTTTAGCTCTCTTCCCATTTTATACACATTGAGTTTATTTTTAATTTTTGTATCCCATCTCTGACTTCAGCCCACACTATTCCTGACTCACCTCCACATGGCTTACTGGATACCTCCCCTTGGATGTTCACAGATGCCTCAGACTCATTATATGCAAACATGAAGTCATTGTCTTTCTCCCCAAACCTGCTTCTCCTCCTGTATTCTCCATTTTGGTGGATGGTGCAGTTATTCAGATGGAATCCCAAGGAAGAAGTCATCTCAGAATCCTTCCTCACCCCTAATGCCATATCCAGTCAGTGACCAAATCCCATCAATTCTGCCTTCTAAATACTGTCAAAACATCTCAGTTTATTCAGCCTCGCTGTCATTACCATAATCTAGACCTTCCCTATTTTACCATGATCAAGCAGTGGCCCTCTGTCTGTAATCTTCTGCCTTCCAGTCTTCCCATCTGATCCCCCAGTTAATCCCCTGAACTGCCACCAGAGTGATCTAACAATGCACAGTTGGTCATGGATTCTCCAGCCTGAAATCCTTCAGTGGTTAATAAGTCCTTGTCTGCTTCTCAGACTTCATCTCCCTAGCTGTGCTGCACTAGTGTATCTCCCCAATCGTGGCAAGTGCTCTCACACTACCACCTTCCTATGGTGGTATTGATAGCATTCCATCGACCTGGAGTGCCCCCACAATGCTCTCACAGAGCCTACAAAGTTAGAAAAAGATTAAATGTTCAAGTGATAATATTAAACTAGAAACAATTAAAGCTAACTTCTTCTCTCACACAGGACTTTGAAAATCACAGGCAATGTGTGTGTGTGCATGTGTATGTGTCATTCTGTCTAAAAAACAAGTAGTATGATTTTTCTCTTAGAACTTTTGTAAGAAGTATGTTTTCTTCAAAAGATTTATTTTTAATGAGTTATTTAAATATTATATATAACCCAGGTAGTAATTGGTAGTAATTTATTGCTTGAAAGAAATATCAGATACTTTATTAGATGCCTAGTCATCTTAAAATTGGATCTCATATCATTTGAAATGGACTGCTATTCCAGACAGCATTCTGCTTTCTTCAAACTAGAGTGATGATGGATTTTTAAATCAAGTTTATTGAGGTATAATTTA